CAAGAATAGAATGGAGGAGAAGAGATTGTGGTGTATCCATCCCCACTAATGGGAGTGATTTCTCACTTTCTCTCTCACTGTCTCTCTCTCTGGCAAGCACATACACCCTATCACAAAAACTTTAAAAAGAAACAAAAAAGTACCAATATCTCTCTTGTTTCATTTTTATCTATCGCTCTCTCTCAAATAAAAGGGAGAAAATATAAATTTTAAGAAGAGCTAAATTATGGGCTATTATAAAGGAATTATTTTGTATGAAAAGACATTATAGGGGATTAATTTACCCTTTAACCACCCTATCTAGGTCTTAACTTCCTCCCATTTCCTACCTAATTCTAGCCGTCTCTGTCCCCTTCCATTTTCTGTTCCTTCATCATCTGTGGCTGAATACTATTTTTGTTTGAATTAAATCCTACACAAAAAACTAAGTTGTTACTCATTTGTACAATTATTTGTTTATATTGTGCTTCTACTAAAACTTAAGCTTTCGATATGCCAAGAGAAGTCCCTTGTGTTTGATATTTGTTAATTTCCTAATCAGATAAATAATTATTTTATTTATTCAGTCAATAAACGTTTTAACAGCCTTAAATTTGTCTGGGATTATGCTAAGAACTGGGAATGTAAAGATGAATAAGACAGGGGCTGGCTTCATGGCAGTTATGATGTGCTGCTCAAGAGAAGCTGGATCCCACACAGCAACCATAGCTTGATTCCCCAACTCAGTCAATCTGAAACACACTAGGTACACATGCATGTGCCCAGATCCCAGTGTCTGGAAGACTGGAGACATGGCCGATCCTTATAGAGGGTGCTTCTCTTTTTCTCTCACTCCCTCATGTGTATGTACACATGCTCTATTATGAACAAGGACAGAAAAAGATACATAAAATATCATCTATGCCTTTAAAATGCCCACAGTGTAGTAGGGGATAATGGGATTTCTACAGTCTGAAAGTCTTTGTCCCCTCAAAACTCATATATTAAAGTCCTAACCCTCAAGAGATGTTAGTAGGGAGTGTGGCCTTCTGAGATGTGATTAGGTCATGAGAATAAAGCGCTTACAGTTGAGACCTCGGAAAACTACCCTGCCTCTTCCATGATGTGAGGATGCTGCAGAAAGGCAGCATCAACGAGACAAGAAACAGTCTTTCATCAGATATGGTGATCTTGGACTTCCTATCTTCAGAACTGTGAGAAATAAATGTTCACTGTTTATAAAATGTCCGGTTTCTGGTATTTTGCTATAGCAGCCTAAATGGACTAAAGTCAGGGTAAGCAGTTTTAATGGTGGAGCATTTTAAGAGAAATCTTTGGAAAGGGAATGAATTTAAATCTAAGAGTGAGGGAAGTATCAGGGAAGGCTTCTTTGTGTGAAGACCCTCTAACTCAAAGCCTAAAGGATAAAGCAACAGAAGAAGTGATTGAGGTAGAAGGATACAGAAAGAACATTCTGTGCAGAAAAAGTAGCCTGGAGAAACTGGCAAGCAAGAGAGAGAAGCGGGTTTATATATACCTGTAAATAATCTGGTGTTAAACATAAACGGTGAGACTAGAGACAAAGCAGAAAGAGAGTGTGGGAGGGGAAGAGTGTAAGAAAAGAAATTTGGGGAAAAAATAGAGAGGTAAGACATTTGTGGGACTCAGATATGGTTTATTACCTGTTGATGATGCTGGGTAGAGTCTCTTTAAAATCTAAATGCTGTATAGCGATTGAATGTATAAATAATAATAAATAAATTTAAAAGTAATTTGAGGGTATAGGAACCAATTTAGGGAAATATTGATAAACTTTATATATTAGAAGAAAAGAAACACTATTGAAGGACTAAAATCTAGGGTTGAAATCATACTGGCATCCATCTACCCATTCCATCCATCCATCCACCCATTCATCCTTTTATCCTTTCATGTCAAGGCTTATTTTTCTTATTCCCTGTAGTAATTTTTAGGCACTAACACAGAGTGTATAATTTAAAAAAGATGTATGACACTTGTCAATACAATGAATTAATATTTGTTGAGTACTATGATAATGCCACTAGAAACTAAACAGAGAGTGAATTCTTTTATTTCTATTTATTTATTTTATTTTGAGAGTGAGAACCAGAAAGAGAGAGAGAGAGAGAGAGAGAACCCCAAACCTCAGGTCTCACGCCATAATCTTCCCCAGCCTTCCCAACCAGCCCGTTCTTGGGTGTGGCTGTCTGGTTCATGTGGCTCCACCTCTGAGCAGCATGTTGTTCCTACACTAGTACTCCAGTCCAGAAAATAAATGTCTTCAGCAGAGGACTGGAACCTGAAGCACAGATTGGGAGGCCCTTCTAGTAGCAAAAGACAAAAGTCTAGGAGTCCAAAATAATGATATCTTAGTGATTGATTGACCGTGACAAGTGAACAGGGAAGGAAATCATGGATACTTTCATATTTAAAGCCCAGGTGACTGGGTGTCACTAAATGAAATAGAAATACCAGGAGTAAAGGAAGTTTTAGAAGAAAGGTAATCAACTAAGTTCTGCACATGTGAAGATTGCACTTCCTATGGGATGTATAGAGAGATTGTTGAAAAGAACAGTGGGAGAGGGCTAGGCTGGAATTACTGACTTGGAATGTATTCGTTTTTATAGCATGTTGAATTATGAGACTGGATGGGATCATTCAGATAAAGTGAATAAAAAGGAAAACCAAGTGCCAAGGATTAGATTCCCAAGAATACCAGCATGTAAGGGATGAGTAAGGGAAGGTAGTATAGCCTATTACAGAAATAAAAACTCAGTGTGTGCAGTATATGAAGAGAATCGAGAGAGCATGTTTTCGGAAAAGCTGAGAGAGTCAATGTAGTTTGAGAAGGAGGGAATCACCAGAGTCAGCTGTTGCAGAAAGATGTTCATTAAAACTTAGCGATTCATAGGTCACTAGTAAATTTAGAAAGCATTTCCACAAAGTATGGATTGAGAACAAAAGCATGGAAGAACTTGAGACTAGCATCAAAGACTAGTTTCTAACAATTTAGATGAGGAGGGACCATAACTGTGGTTTTAGAAGGGTTTTAACTTCTGGGTAGTCCATTTTGTTTTAGAGTAAGAGGTAATTGCTGTGCATCTATTTAAGGCATGGTAATATAAACAGTTCCCCCTTATATTCGAGGTCCTAGATACAGGCTCCTCGACCTTCTAAATATTTCCTGCTAGTATGTCAAGTGAGTTTCTCTGCAGGCTAGATCATGACGGCTTTTTGCTTGCTTTTTTTCCTCTGATCATGGAGTACTTCCTGTATTTGCACTCATTCATTTTTTTCCTTCAACAGATATTGAATGTCCACTCTATGCCAGACATTAAAGTTTATAGGTTTCTCTTGTCTTTTCTAGTTTTTTTTTTATTAAGAACTATTTATTCAATTTTATTTATTATTATCATTTTTTTAAATTTGCTACAGGGCACATGCATTCAGCAGAGAGAGAGAGAGAGAGAAAGCAAGCACCAGGTCTGGAACTTGAATGGCTGTGGGCCATGTGGGAGTACAACACCTTAACTACCATTCCACCTGTTGCCTCTCTAGTTCTTATTTTTTATTCAAGGCTTAACTGAAGCATAGTCCCTCCTCTAATTCTTTCCCCCATGATTCTAGCTTCATATATTTCTCCTTTTCTGGTAATTACAACCTTGATTACTCATTCAACTATAATAATATAGTTTTGATTCATTTTACTTTCCATATTTATGTATAGCTTATTCTCATAACCAAAAGTGTCATGAAGGCAAGGATTATATCTTTTGTTTATTTCCTCCACATAATATGTGATTACTACATTTAGTCCAATGAACAATACATGAATATATACAAGGGGTCTTCAAAAAGTTTACAGAAAATGTATATTATGAAAAAATGCACATATATTTTAAACTTTTTTGCAGCAAAATAAATTGATACTTTAATTTCAATTCCTGCATTCCTTTGGAGTTCTCCTTGTATTATGAAAATTGAAGTATCCATTTGAAAAATGCTCTAAAAGACTCTGCGATGTCTTCTGAAACATAACGATTTCCTTACTTAAATAGTAATGACTATAGTACCTAATAACTGCAAGATCATCCTGTACACTTTGAAAAATTCTGGACTGAGCCAGCCCGGTGGTGTGGTGGCTAAGGCAGTTGGATCCCATGTGGCCGACCACACAGCTCAAGTTTTGGACCTGGCAGCTTGAAAAACACACTGGGTGCATCAACTTGCATGCCCCAAATCTTAGGGAGAGAGCAGAGGAAAAGGGGTTGTGGTGTGGTCATCCTCCTGAGAGGTGCTTTCTCACCCCCCCTCCTCAACCTCTCTCTTTCTCCAGTAAGCCTAAAGCAAATTAAAAGAAAAAAAATTCTGTAGACTGTAAATAATATTTACCCTACTGAGTTGTTGTGAAGATAAAATGAGACATTTTACACACAAGTGTACATATATTACTATCTATATGGACACATGTATCTGTACATGTACACATATATTATTTATATATAAAATATTTTTAACAGAGTGCTAGAAGTCAATAAATGTTAGCTTTCCATATTTTAAGTCAGAGGAATAATAATGAATTCTTCAGGAAAAAATAAGCAACAAGGAAAATACTTTTTTCTAAACCATGTACTAAAATAAAATAGAAATCCAACTATAATTTTTTCCTCATATTTATTTTGCATCTCTTTTCTCCCATCAAATGGGTTAAGGAGTCTGTCTCCCAAAACTGTTCTTTCCTGTCTTTCTTTCATGATTAGTTCAGGTCATTGTCATTCCCACTTGATTTACTGCAATAGTTTTTTAGAACATATCTGTTTTTCTCCAGTCTCTTCCTCTTCCAATCGATCTATCCCTTGCCACAAAATTGATCTAAAACACAAATCAGACAATGGCACGTCCCTGCTAAAAATCTCAATGTCTTAACATTGCCTTTGAAGTTAAAAAACACAGCTCTACAAGACAACAGTTCCACCTGCTTCTTTGGCTGGGTAGCTCACCTTTTCCTTTCTGCATTGGTATCCTGGGGGTAATAAGCATCCCCGGAGGTGGAGCTGTGTACGGTAGTGGATATTGGTAGCACTACTGGATGATGGCAGGGGGTTCCTCCCAAGAAGGAAGCACCCAACGATCCCTCTATCCCTTTTATCGGCTCCTGAGATGAGAAAGCAACATGAGATGAAAGAAAGCAATTTCCTCCCAGAGTTTCATTCACAATGCCCTTGCTATCTTCATTCTGTCTAACCGCCTACAGAGCTCCTTCCACCTGGGAATGAGGAAGGTAAGAGCAGGATGTCTTAAGTACTGATCTGAGAAGATGATTAATAAGAGAAATACTTGTTGCACGAAGTGGTGGAGGTTTACTTTGTGACTTTCTAGCAGACAGACATGGGAAATACACGGTAAAATGCTTTGAAATACAATTTGCTTATGAAGTGGCCATCATTTAAGAGACTTTAACAAATAACCTTCCTTAACTATCTAGTTTCTTTTCAGGTAATCTTTCCTCGAGGTTTCCAGAATAACCTTCCACATTTTTTCCTTTTGTTCATGGTTCACATGATTTTCTCCCTCACTGATTAGGAACTCTTGTAGGGCAGGTATGGTGTGTGTGTGTGTGTGTGTAGGTTTTAATTTGTATATTTCCCACACCTACAGGAGGCAATCTGGTGTTTGTCAAGGAGGCAAGACAAAAAACAAACATGAAAGCACAGAAGGCTAATGAAGGAATCAGTCTCCACATTTCAGTGGTGATGGTGTCACAAACTTGCCTGAACTTTTGTTTTAGTTCAGTGGGAAAAAGTGTGTGTGTTGTTGACCCTGGTTAAGACCATACCTACTTTTGACAATCTTCCTCAGCCTAAATAACCCTGCTGAAAAATTATTTTTTTTAAACCCTGTGTTGTGTATCATAGAACTGAGTCCTTTATAATACGACCGCATATCCTTTATATCTAAGTGTTCATTACTATACAACTGATGCAAATTAATATGCTTTCCGAGGGGTTATTTAATGCTAACTATATCATTTGTATCAATAGATAGTAAAGTCAGTTGTATTTTGAAAACAAGCAAATAACATGCCTCAGTATAGTTTTAACTTCTTTGAAAATTTTAGTTTTGAGCTAGAATTTTCCACACTTGGCTTTAAAATAAGAAGCAAATTAATTTTGGAAAGGTTTAGGGAAAATCTGTTCAAATGGTTAAAACTTAAGAAACAGTAAGAGAAATTTCTTTTAACTAGTTGAAACTCAGTTTGAATAACTTACAAATGGTTGAACTTTAAAAGTCAGAATTTTCCATTATCTTATTTTTAACTCAGTAAGTACCTCATGAGTATTTACAAAATAAACATATTTAATTTTAATTTTTTTAGTAGAACTAATTAAGGGATGGTACAAATAGATGACAGTATTTACTTCAATAACAGATTATTTTGGCTTAGCAGCAATGGCACAACACCCTGCAGTGCTGGAAGCCATGTGGAAGATCAGGGTTCAGTTTCCGAGTTAACTTGAACACTCCTGGGTAGCATGTGCACATGCCTATGATCCCAGCTGATTAGGAAAGGGTGGGCATGAGACCCTGTTTAGAGTGCTTGTCTTTTTCCCTCTTTTCCTTTCCCTCTCTCTCTCTCTCTCTCTCTCTCAAGATATTTTTTAAAAACAAGATTTTTTTCCAGCAGTTTCTAAATTTCTCATTTGCCATGAAGAACTACCCCTGACCTTGTCTGTAAAAAGTCTCTGTGCACTTTAGAACAGTGACCATTCATATGATATTTTTGAATTTCCTTAATTAAGTTTCTATATCGGACGTTTTCACAATTATTTTAATTGTTTTCAATTTGTCCCTTGGCATATTTCAATCAAACTAGCTATGCATATTCCAGACCTGAAAAACTGATAGTAAGGTAAACATGCTTTCAGTTATTTATGTGTGTTTGTGTGTTGGGTAGACATGCTTGCAATAATGTGGTGTCTCACAAACCTATTGAAGTTTGTTGACATCCTGCTTATGATTACATATTTATATCTTGGAAACTGTATGTGATTAAAGATGTATAGTAGTTGTAATAGTCTTTTTAATTCCTACTGCCAATCTTTTGTTTTCTCTAATTTACAAATACAGTGTAATGGTGAAATATGGTAAACATGAGTTTGTTAGTGCTGCCTGTACCATAAATACCATAGACTAGGTGGCTTAAACAATAGAAATGGATTTTCTCACAGTGCTAGAAGCCAGAAATCTGAGATCAAGATGTCAGCATGATTGTTTCTTCCAAGGCCTGCTCCATGGTCTGTAGATGGCCAGCATCTCTCTGTGTCCTCACCTGGTCATCTAATGACACTTGTTTGTTTTCTTATCTCTTCTATTTATAAGAACATTAGTCACATTTGATTAAGGCCCACCCATATGACCTCATTTTGTCTTTATTATCTCTTTGAAGGCTCTAGCTCTAAATTCTGAGGTACTGTGGATTAGAATGTCAACATGTCAGTTACTGGGGGGGAGGCGACACAATTCAACCCATAGTATGTATATAATATTGAAATTGTTTAAACATTTCATGTATGTATATTTGTGTATATATATATATATATACACACACATGTGTATATATAAATATATGAGCATGTATATAGTGTAGATGTATATAAATTATACACATATTTATACGTATGTACAACATGATGTAATAGTTACATATATACCTAAAGTAAAGATATATATTTGTGAATAATATATATGTCTGTTAACTTTACTGATAGACTATCATAAATTTAGGAGAAGAAAAAAGGTAACATTCTAATATATGCAGTTTTTGAAAATATTGGTTAACTTATATTTAAATTAATGAGCTTTAGTTGGGCCACAATTTGAACTCCAATTCTCAGCTGCTGTATGGCAGTGCTTTACCACTTGCACCACAGACACTAGACTTAACTGGTGAGCTTTGAAGGTACATGTAATTTGTTATTAACAACTGCTAGTAATGTAAAAATGCCCAAACTACTTTTGTTGACGTTTTGCTATCAGTCCAAATTTAGGAGTAAGTCTGTTCCCTAAGCTAGAAAACCAGGGCTTTTTTTTTTTTTTTTTTTAATGTTTTTGCCATAGGACTTGTGCGCTCTCCAAAGAGAGAGAGAGGGAAAGTGAGAAATCTATCCCCAGGAAGGATGGCCACACCACTATCCCTTCTCCTTTATTCTTCTCCTGGGATTTTGGGCATGCGCACACACTTCTGGCATGATTTTCAAGCCGTCGGGTCCAGGACTCGAGCCCCGGTCAGCCATGTGGGAATCTAGCAACATAACCGCTATGCCACCTGCTGGCCCGACAACCCTGTTATCTTTAAGGCCTGCTACTTAACCTTTCTTAATGACGCTTGATAAAATTTAATTTCTTAGCCATCACTTCTTCACATACAAATCTTAATATAAGAAAAGTTTCCAAATTCCCTGCCTCCTCCCTCTTTCCCCCACCTTTGTATCACTTGGCAGTTAAACTGGTTGTTTTCTTTTCATTTCTTCAGCATGCTATTTTCATACTTTGAGGCATTTTACCCTAAAACATCTCTTCTCCTTTCCACCTGCAGGCCTTTAAGAATAAGCTCAGTCGTTGTCTCTTAACCAATACGTATTCTCTGAAGATTGAAACCTGCAGTTAGTTCTCCCATAATTCCTATGGCACTCAATGATACTCAATACTACTCAACTAAGCACTTAATTAGAAAAGATAGATGCGTAGTGAATAGAGACTAGGTTTTGTTTTGTTTTATTGTTTTTGTTTCCCACAGCACCTTACAGAGTTTTGGTCACATGGTAAATGTTATAAGTGCTTATTAATTGATTAATTTACAGTGGGGAAAGTAAATTAGATATAATGAGTTAGCACTGTGAAGAGCACAAAAATCTCTACACTTTTGCTTTAATTTTAAGATTATGTTCATTAAATGAGGAATACAAATGAATTTCATAGATTTAAGCATTTACATTGTCAGTTCTCATAGTCATATTACAATAATTTCTATTTTATCTAGTTTGCATAAATACATATTCAGCTTTTAAACATCCACACTTTCCTATATAAAATTAGTGTTTTGTAAATTATGTATTAAAAATACTAAATGATAAGTGAAACACTATTATTTAACATCAGATGTCCTCTCTCCTATATTATGTTTTTTTCCCTATTTAATGGACCTTTTCATTAGCATACAAGTGTGCTATAATTTTTCTATGTATACCTTTTTAATCAAGTTTTTTTTTTTTAATCACACGTTTTCAATTAGCTACTGCAAAAATACCTCAGTGGAATTGTCGGTTCCAGTATTTCTCAAACTCTTACATGCATACAAATCATCTGGGAATTGTTAAAATTTAAATTCTGGGCTCAGCCACAGTGCCACATGGCTGCTAGGAGCCTGAGGCCACATGGGAGCCCAAGTTTGATTCAAGGCCCAACCTAAACAGGCCAGGTGCACACCTGCCTGAGAAGTTGGGGCATGAGGGTCATGACTTAATGAGACCCTGTCAAAAATTTCTCTATCATTCATTAAAAAAAAAAAAATAGCAGATGATATAATAGTTACATTGCTGGACTCCATGTAGTCAAACGTGGTTCAAGTCCTGGACCCAGCAGCTTTAAAACTCTTGCTGGGCATATGTGCATGTATGCTCCAAATCCTGAGAGGACACTGTCTGTCTCTCCCTGTCTCTCTGGCAAGCAAATGTACCCTATACCAAAAATATCCCTAAAAAATAAATTACATAAATAAATAAATAAATAAATAAATAAAATAAATCTCTGATCAAGAAAGTATATGCTTCCTGTGGCTTAAAACAACAAACATTTATTTGCACAGAGCCGTGCTAGGTACCTCTGACCCAGGAGCTTCCATATCATAGCTGCAGTTAAGGTAATGACCTTCATGGCAGTCATCTCTAGCCTTGACCTGGAGAAGCACTCTAAGCTCCCCACCTTGGCTATTGATGGGCTTCATGTTTTTGCTCACTGTTGGATAAAGACATCAGTCCTTTGCTATATACCTCTCCACGAGGCATTTCAAAACCTATCTCCTTGCTCCAGGAGAGGGAAGAGACTAGAGACAGGGGAAGAACAAGCAAGACAGAGCCAGTGTCTTCTATAACTTAACCTCTAAAGTAAACATCACTTTGCCATATTCTGTGCATTAGAAGGCAGTTACTAGATCCAGCCTGTACTCGAAGGGAGGAGATTACACAGTTCATAAATGCCTGTGAAGTGGGAGTCATCGGGGCTCTAGCTTAGAGACTGTCTGCTGCAGTAGATTGGGTAGGCTCTGAAATTATGCATCCTTTTGTGAGATGAGTTTTTATTTATATTTATATATCTTTCCTGAGAGAGAGTCAGGCAGACAGGCAACACCAACAGAGTCATCCCTCCAGAATCTAGGCCTAGCCTTGACCAGTCCCTATCATGGGCACGTGGGTGTGCCAGCCCAGCATGCACAGGCAAGTCTTGGGACACAAACCTCAGACCAGTGTGGGTTCAGCACGGCAGCTCATGGCGTTACTGCTGCACCGTCATCTGGTTCCTGAAAGTCTGCATTTCTTAGAAACTCGTAGGTGATACCAGTGCTGCTCTTCAAGAATCTTCCTTGAAAAGCACGGGTTTACACTTTCTGCTTCTGATTCCTTTTTCTCTATCTTCATGTTTTGAGCACATCCACTCTGATGAGGGTTAGTTATCCTCTACTCCCCTGAAACTGCCTGTTGAAGTTACCAGTGACCTTCACGTTATTAAATCCAGCATTTAGATTCAATCACTCTTGATACTTGGCTTCTGAAGCACTAAATTTACATTTTTATTTCAGTCACTGCTAGTTACCTTTTCCCTGACTATAAATTTTGTTGTATCTCACCATCCAATCCTCAGACCCCTTTTTAATCTATAGTCAATTCCTAAATGGTCTTACCAAGGCTTATAGCTTTGAATTCCAGATACATGCCAAGGATTCTCATATTGTACACATTCGTAGACTTTGCAAAAATGCTAACTTTTGTCAAGTGCCTAATGAACACCTCAATATGGATACATTAAAGTAATTTCAAAATTTAAATGCCCAGAACACTTTACTCCTTCCTGTTAACCTGCCCCGCCCCAGTCCTGCCCCAGGCCCAACCTGGTAATCTTGCTTCTCATCCATGCTTACAAATCCAACAAGCAGGACTACTCTTCAATCAGTTTTCAAATGAAAAACCTGGGATCATTCTTAAGTCTTCTTTCACTCTCTTGTGTAAACAGTAGGGTTTTTTCCGGCGGGGGGGGGGGGGAGTTCTATCCCTTAAATAGTGCTTGGCTCTCCATCACTCTCCATTGCAGTCACCCCCTAGTCCAGACCAGTATTACCTCTCCTCTTGCTTTCTGCTTCTGGTCACTGTTTGATTATAGCGTCTAAAACCTCCAACCCAAGTGCTCTTAATCAGCCTGTTTTCCAACTCATAGTCTCCTTTATCCTATAAGAGAAACCTTAGATTTTAAAATATTGTTTATAAAGCCATAGATCATCTGGTACCTGACTCCCTCCCCGGCCCCATTTATCTCTGCTTCCCTACCTGGACTCTGTACTTCAGCAATACAGGGACTGCGTGATGATAACACTTTAATCTGACTGAACTTTCCTGAAAATCAGTTCTCTGCTCAGAACTATGTGTTCCCTTCCTTTCCTGACTACCTTTCACCTAATTCAAGTTTCATCTTGAAGAACATGGTTTCCTCCTGGAGGCATTGACCTCTTAGACTAGGTTTGGAGCTTTCACAGTGTAGTCCATAGCATTACATACTTCCATATCTTAACTGTCATTGTATTTTATACTAATCATTTTATTGCATTTTTAAATGGTAAGCTCTGAAAGATCAGCAGATGGTGTAATGGTTATGTCACTGGACAGCCATAGCCTACTGCAATTTGAGTCCCAGACCCAGTGGCTTAAATTCAGGCCTTCCGTGTATGCGTGAGTGTCCAAAATCCCAAGAGGAGAGTGCAGGAGAATGGAGGAGAAGGAATTTGTGGTATGACCAACCCACCTGGGGGTGTGATTGATTTCCTGTTTTCTGTCTCTCTCTGATTCTCTGGTGAGAACACATGCCTTATAGCAAAACATCTTTCTAAAAATAAATTAAAAAAAAAAGACAAAAAACTGTAAACTTTAAGAAGGCCAGATCATCAGAGGTAGACTGAGGTATTTTGAAGCCTGAAACATATACTCTGATGGATTCTCTTTAGAGTACAAATACTAAATTTTGGTTCAAACTGACTACCAATGTTGGTGGTTAGATGATGAATAAAAAAGATCCAGAGAAAAAGAAAATTAATATATATCTAAATAGATAGACACACACTCTAAAGTACAATACAAAAGTGAATATTCATTGAATAATAAAGTCATAAGAAAATATAAAATTAAGGAAACTGACAACTATAAAAATATATGACCCTGTGAAAATACTGCTAGGGATCCTTTCCAGGAGTCCAAAGCTTAAGCTTCATTAAGTTCCCAGTAAATCTACATCTGCATATTTGTCTTTTTCAAAGCTCTATTTCTCCTGCCAAAAGTAGTGCTTAACACATAGCAGGTATTCAATAAATATATTTAGATGAATATATTTGTGGAGTTATTTTAAGGTGCATTTTCCATTTATGCAACATTCCATGAATTTTTCATAGATTAAATTTCTAATAAAATTTATACTGCAAAATTGTTCTTATAGTTACTATTTTAAGTTATTTGGTGGTTATATTTAAAATGACTAAGAATATACAATATTAGTTATATCATTTAACATTTTAACATATCACTGAGCCCTATGCAAAAAGGCTGTTGTACTTCTTTACAATTTAAAAAGATTTTTTTGTTTTTTGGAGGGTTTTTTTTTTTTTTTTTTTTTTTGCTATAGGACGCATGCGCTCACTGGAAAGACAGAGAGAACAGAGAGCCAGAAAGTGAGAAATCACTGCCTAGGGAGGATGGCCATGCCACAATCCTTTCTCATCCATTTTCCTCTCGGGACCTTAGGCACCCACGCCCACTCACCCAGCGTGAGTTTAAGCTACCAGGTCCGGGACTCAAACTGCGGTCTGTTAAATGGGAGTCTAGCGACATAGCCATTACGCTAACTGCTGGTCACTACAATTTAAAAAGATTTTAGACTTATATCAAAACTATGCAGAATAATCTGTGTGTGTGTTTGTGTGTGTGTGTTTGTGTGTCTGTATTTTATAGATCATATAATACTAACATTTCCAGATTACTTTTGGATTACTATGATTCTTTTTTTTTAATTAATTAATTTCTTTATTTAATTTGACCAGAGACAGAGAGAGAGGGAAAGCAAGCTGCCAGGTCTAGGACTTGAACCACAGTCAGCCATGTGGGAGTCTAACACCTCTATACCACTTGCTGGCCCCCCTCTTTTTAAAAAATATCGCCAGAAGGCACATGTGCATGTGCCTACCAGAAACAGCACCAGGGTTGGGGGTGTAGGAGAAAGCACTCCCCATGGGAATGATCATGCCTAAATCTCTTCTTTTCTCTCTCCTTTTGGAACTTTTGGGTACACATGCACATGTGCCTGGTTGTTTTTCTGGCTGCTGGGTCTAGGACTTGATCCTTGTAGTTGGCCATATGGGATGTCACCAGGTGGCTCTGATTTTTTTTTTTTTTTTTAACTTTTTTAGATAAAATTCTTTAGGGAAAACTTTTTTTTCTTTAAAATAAACTTTTGTAAACATTTACCTTTAGAATAATAATAAAGATGCCAATATTTCATACATAACTTAAGTGACATAAAATCTTCACTATGAATTTGTCCACAAGATATTATTTAAGAGATGATTCGAATCAAGAAAATAACATAGCTTTCAAAACATATGCTACTTGGCTTGAATCTTTGGAGTTTCGTTTGTTAAAATAAAAGTAAGTTTAGTTGAGTTCCTTTTGTAATAACACTAGATTTGTCAAGGAGTTGCTATGCTCAAGTCTACACATTAACAGAGGTGTGTGTGTGTTTCCATGCGTGCATGTGTGTGTGTGTGTGTATGTGTGTGTGTGTGCATTACAAAGTGCAGCCCTCAGATCAATGCGCACTCCCCCACCCCATTTTCCTAAATACATCATGAAAAAAGGATGAGGTTTCCGCCTTAATTGCTTGTGCCTTTTATTCACATTCCTCTCTCAGCCAGAATTGTGAAAAGAGTGTTAGTAAAAGGCTGCACAATAGAGCTTTTCATTAGGCCTCAGCAAGGCACACAAAAGAAGGCTTTTGGACTGAGTGAATGCATGAGTTTAATTTGCAGGTGGAGAGTAGATAAAAGGTGCTGACGCCTCTATTATTCTCTTACTTAGGTGACCCTTACCCTGTTCAGCTGATCCCAACTACCATGGCAGCTGCTGCTGCAGCAACACCAGGCTTAGGCCCTCTCCAACTGCAGGTAAGTCAGGAAACAATGCTGGGAGACAAAGGTTAAGTAAATATCGAAAACAGCTATTATTGTGTTAAAGCAAAATAAAACTGACAAGTGATATGCGTCTCATACGTTTTGTTTTTACATTGATTTCTACTGACCCTCAACCAAAAGTTGAGGTGTTGATTCTTTTCATTTTTAGCTCTGTTTTCTGTACTGAAGAGATCTTACTGTAATTTTTTTTTAATGCCTGATATTATTTAAGAAGGTGAACAGTGGTTTTTGCTTTGGTTACTGTATGCCATAATTTTGTCAGAATGAGCCCTATCAAGATAAAACGAACAAAAATGTGTAAGAGATAATCAGACACTTTTGGATGACAGCAAGCTAACAAAAAATGGGTTTTAAATAGTTGAAGATGCACAGTATTGTGGATCACTCTGTAGGCTCCTTTGTTCTCCTGCTAGGGCCAGCTTTGCAGGGCAAGCCCAGGAAAAGAAGCCCAGATAAGCAGGTACCTAAATGAGCACTGCTTTATCCCAGATATCCCAATTAAGGCCTTCTTAGCTCTGCAGAATACATATTTCCTTACACCCAAGCTTGTCGATGATAACTTTACCAGATGTCTAGGAGATTTTAGAAATTCTGTCTCTGAAGTTGAAAAGTCATTCACTATGTACATCTCTGAATCAGCATCCCACAAAATATTGCATAGTTTCCATTGTTATATAATTATGTAATTAATAGGAATAAAGATAGTTTAATAAGAGGATTAATATCCTCTTGTGAGAAGTTTGATATGTTCCTTAGCCTGGAAACACTGCAGGAGAAACCAGATAGAAAGCAGTTGTGCTGAATAAAATTAAATTGTATTCGTGAAATGCATTGTCATGATAGATGATCTTAGTCTGTAAGGATATATAGTTTTATACTGTAGCATCAAGAGACAGATACATCTGGTCTGCACATGGGATTGTCAGAAGACCTGGCGGGTTTCTAAAAGACCAGTTGAGTTTCACAGGAGGAACTACCAGTGTGAAAGCTGAGACATACTGTGTTCTACAGAGGTTAATAACACTTATTTCCATTCTACCTTTTTTACAAAAAGCTACACTGTGAATGTGTGTTTCTTTGAGCTGGAAATACCTTGGGAAGTGTTAGAGCCATGGGGACAATAAAAGTAACATCGCATTTTTTATTCTTTGAAATGGCATCTGGGGAATAGCGACAGTACAGAAAACTGATTGTCATAGGTAAATCTAAAAAGACTGGTGGAATTGGAGGAAGAGGGAGAAATACCCAGAGTTTGAGAGATTTAGGAGGTCAGTTTTCAAAGCAAGTTGGATGTTCTCATTTCCTTCCACCCTTGGATTAGTGGTGAGAGGAAGTACAGGCAAGGGGAGGCATCACTTGTGTTTCAGTCCAAGATTCTAGGAGAAGGTAGCTTTGCTAAGCAACAGACTTTTTTTCTCTAGTTCCAACACTAGAGATATTGTTATAATATCTGACAGAAATTAAGTTTTATTTCCATTCTTACGGGATTATCATATTCTTTTAAGATTTAAAAATATTTAAATATTCTTCTTCAGAAAACTTTAGACACAGAAAATATTTGCTCTTTCTTTAATTAGAATTTGACCTGTAAATGGGATAAAGTTCCTTTTATGTAAGTGGAATTATCCTATTAAAATTCATATTTTTAGTTTGAGTCTCAAGTAATCAACACTATTGTGTACAAGAAAAATTTATAATCTGAAACGTTTTCATGGAAAGTCATCAGCTACTATTAAGATATGTTCACAAAAATACTCACACACACACACACAGCCTTTTTTAGTGAAAAGAAAAAAATTGGTCTTAAGATGCAAACACATTCCAAAAGCATGTCATGACAGAGAATCTGACTTTTCTTTGAAGTGGACTAACTCTCACCTTTCCTTGGGTCTCTGTGTCAACTCATTTTTTCTGTTCATTCCTAGTACTGTATTCACAGATCCCTCACTTTAACTTCAGTCTTCTCCATAGCTGCAAATGATACCTGTTACTTTCTCTCCTCTTGCTTTAAAATAGCATACAAATCCATTTCTTCTCCACAGAAGTGCCGGGTGGGTCAATGATAGGCGGATGACAATGCCTAGTCAGAAGTCTTATCTTAACCCTTATCCCAAATTTCCCCCAATCATATAAACCTAGTTTTAAGAAGTTTCACCTCAGTGACAAATGTAAACCACTGTTATTTTTCCCCAAATTCTGCTTGCCTTTTTTTTTTTAATTACTTAACTTGATTTATCTATCTATCTATCTATCTATCTATTTATTTATTTATTTAAATTTGATCAGAGGGACAGAATGAGAGAGAGAAAAAAAACAGAGAGAGAGAGAAACTGAGAAAGCATGCTGCCAGGACCAGGACTTGAACTTGAACTGTGGTCAGCCATTTGGGAGTCCAGTACCGTTAACTACCATGCTACCTGTAGGCCCCTCAAATTCTGCTTTCAATTTCACTCTGTTAAATCTTCATTTTCCAATTTTTAATACTACCCTGAGTATAATCCATTCCTCCTTAGCCCCTTTCAGTGACTAAGATTTAGTCCTGAAGCTAGTAGGTGTCATGGTGGGTGAAGCACTGTACTCCTACATGGCTGAACATAGTTTGAGTCCTGGACCTGTCAGCTTGAAAGTTTTGTCAGACGCCTCTGTGTGCATGCCCAGAATTCCCGGAGGAGAATGAAGGAGAAGGGTTTACATCATGGCCATCCTCCTGAGGGATGATTTCTCACTTTCTCTCTCTCTGTCTCGCTCTAGTTCTCTCCAATGGGTGCATATGCCCTATGGCAAAAACCTAAAATTAATAAATAAATAAAAAGTTCAGTCTTGCTTGCAACTTTAATCTGATTTCTAGTTCATATGTCACTGCTTTCTTTCCCTCATTATGGAAAATCCCAGCTCTAGAGAACAGAAGTGAAGAAGGATATGGCTTAATCTTGTTTCAACTCCAACTTAATGCCTGTGAAGAAATGTATTGAGGAAGTTGTCTCTGTTACTGAGTCAATTTAAAGATGGTGTGTGTGTGTGTGTGTGTGTGTGTGTGTGTGTGTGTGGTTTTCTTAGCTGTTGATGAGCTTTTCCTGATCTGCTGAACAAGAGGCAGACAGGTCTGTTGATCTTTTCTTCTAACCTTGTTTTGTTTAGAATTTCACTATGCATGTCCAGCAGTTTTCTGGGTATAAAATGCCTGCCTTCTTCATCCCTAATGCTCCTTTACAGAGAAACCTAATATCCTCTTCTGAAGTCCTCTTCTGCACCATCTTAAGAACTGTGGTGGTACTATACCACAGTCCTGGTCGCATCTTGCAGCAAACAGCCCACCCTTCTCCACCAACCTACCACCCCCCCTTTCTCCCCAACCTCCCCCCCCCCCCTCCCAGCTTTAGTAAACTGTAGAAGAGAATATAGGCATGACTATGTTTTTCATTACATACACTTCCAAGCTGGACTCTGTCAAGTTGTCCTAAAAACTCTCTCACCATACCTCTAGTAGGTGGGGCTTTAGGTTTTAGCTCAGCAAGCAACCACTTGAAGGACAGCATGCAAGTTTCTCCTTCTTGCTAGATTCTCCACTTGTTATGAAGTCTGCCACCTAACTTGGATAGGGAGGGAGGAACACTGTCCTTCAAGAACCAAACCTTGGAACCAGCAGTTAGTGTAATGGCTGTGTCGCTAGACTTCCATGTAGTTGACCGTGGTTCGAGTCCTGGACCCGGTGGCTTAAACTCATGCCAGGTGTGTGTGCATACATGCCAAAGATCCCGCGAGGAGGATGGAGGAAAGGGATTGCGGCGTGGCCATCCCCCCTGGTGGGTGATTTCTTGCTTTTTGTGTCTCTGTCTCGCTCTGTCTGTCCGGCGAGCGCATGTGCCCTATAGCAAAAACCTCTCCAAAAAAAAAAGAAATAAAAAAAGGAACCAAGCCTTCCCCTAAAGCTGTAGAGTCAGTACTCTCTCTTCCTATCTCCCTCATCAGAGTCATATACTGAAGAGATGGGAAGGTAAGGTCAGCAAGATGAGAAGATAAGAGGCAGCATGAGTGTTCATTAAAGTAGGCCCAGTTCAGCCAGGTTCTGTTGAGGGGAGATAATGGTTTGTATGTTGTCTAGTGCCAACCATTGGTGTCTCTTTTTGTAGAACCCTTAAAGACTTTGCTTTTTATTTACTTATTCCGTCTTCTGTTAATGTTTAATCTGTCCTTTATTTGCTCTGGGTAGGTAGTCTTAGCTGAGGAGAAGGAATTGATCCTCATCTAATGGGAATGGAAATAGTGTGGAGAGGATACATATTTTAAATAAAAACAGAATGTTGTTTCCTTTTCCGTGAGTCCAAACTTAACAGTGTTAACTCATATAACGTGCCATAACACTGGATGCCACTAGTTCTTCCTAGCCCTGGTTTATGGAATACTTACTCAGGCTAGAGTCCCTGTCAGGATTTTACAAGGATTATCTCATTTAGTTCTTATTACAACACTTTCTCTTATGTATTCATATCTCTATTTGACAAGGAAGAAAGCTGGGTCCCAGAGTTCAGAATCCATGGCCTTTAAACAATTATATTTGCTTTCTCTGATTACAGGTGATTTTATCTTAATCTTTGGTGACATTGCCCATTAAGATATTGGATCGTCAGAAAAGTCATGACTTTTTTTGTGTTTTTCTATGTAAAAATGCATCAAGACTTTTCCAACAATCTATTATTTGCTAACTTAGAAACCAACTAATCAAGTAATAATAATGCTGATTGACTTGCTTTAATACAAACCTTCTGTGTGGTTTGCAACACTGACCGGAGTAGCAGGATTCATGTGACAACTGTCTACTTTAGACTCTGAATTTTCCATTTCATGCCTCTTTTCAGAGATATATGTTAATTCAAGTACTTCTTTTGAACACCTAAATCTAATAAGGGGCACTATAAATATATTCCCACTCATGGCTGACTTTGCTTACCATTTGTGTTTTCTTTTGAAATAAC